CAGAACCTTAACTTAAAAATAAAAATAAAGTGCAATTAGATGGCATGCTAAAGAAATAATCGGTTTTTATTTTCTAAAAATATTTTTGAGGGTTAGCAATAAATTTGATAGTGATTACTAAATTCTTCGGATTATAAAACGAACTCATTAATAATTGATTAAAACTACCTATCCAAGTAAGTAGCAAAATGTAGCAAAGAAGTTTATATTCATTAGGCGAGTAATTATAAAAGAATATGAAAGAAAAAGCTTGAAAAGTTTAAAAAAGTGGTCAGAAGGATCAAAGTTAATAAGGAAAGTAATAAATAAACAAGGACCACTTATAATAATAACACTTTTATTGGATCAAAATGAGAAGGGAGCTGATGCAATTTTTCAGACGAACGTAAACATGATCGCAAATTAGTGAGGATCAAGTGTGATCGGTCAATTGAATAAAAATCAGATATTATTAGTCAAAACTAAGGCATTAAAGAATAAAACATAAATTAATATGAAATTTATAGCTCAACAAAGCATTCACACTATAATAAAAATTTAGGGCCTTGGCAACCATCAAGAAGCAACTATGTTGGAGATTATAACGTATAGATAATTATAGGCAATGAAAGTCGTGAATGACGAGTTACCCATCAATCAGAGATAAGTTGCCTGCAGAAAGAGCGGGCGCAGCCACAGCTGTAGAGGCGGTAGAACAAGCTAACGAGGCAGACGAAGAAGTGGAGGATGTAGATGTGACGACACTAACGGCTGTAGAATCAATGGAAGATGAAGCCTGGGCTCTACGTTTGCTATTACTAGAGACACTTCCAGCATTCGTAGTGTGGACGGAACCACAAGAAACCGAGTTATTATTACAATTGGCTCCTAAAGCACCAGGACACCCTCCAATGCTATTATTGTTACTGCTACCGGAGACAACTCCACATCCAGTGCTGCAATTTGGAGCTGTAGATGTTGAACTTCCACCAGCGCTACGAAGCGACTGGCCAAAACCCCGAGCAATATGGCTACGGGCCCCGCGATTGTTGCCAGGACTATCTGAAACTGTGGCGCTACCGCCAGTTTGGCTCACATGAGCATTTGATGAAGTACGAACTGGATCCCCCAAATGTCGACTTGATGTGGCAGAGAGACCTAAAATACACTCAGAGGATAACGCGTTCGAGGATGTACAATGAGGAAGTGTGGATTCCGAGTCCTCTAATCGATGATCATCTGATAATTAAAAAAATGCGATAATATTTAGTCATATAGATGATACGGAAAATAGAAGCAAGTTAAACTATATATATATATATATATAT